GTCCCCCCAGCTGCGGCGCGCCGCCGTGCCGTTCCTGCTGCAGCTCGCCGCCATGTCTCCCAACCTGTTCGGAGCCGTGTCTTCAGAGCTGGTGGAGCTGCTGCGGCCTGCAGTGCTGCTGCAGCTGCAGGCTCTGCTGCAGGGCCTCCCCAGGGAGGAGCTGGACAACATGCTGGGGCTGGCCGTCCACCTCATTAGCCAGAGTCCCACGGGGGGCGCCCGGGTCCTCCGCTTTCTGGCAGACACGGCGACGCCAGCATCCGTTATCATCTCCGGTCCGACGCCGTCGCCTCACGAAGGAGTCCGAGAAGGCTGTGACCGCCTGCTGCAGATGCTGCTGCTGCATCTCCACAAACTGGTCTTCAACCGCTCCGAGGGGTCAGACGTCGGCCCTTTCGGTTCTGCCTCCTCTCAGCCACAGAGGGTCATCCCGTTCCTGGAGGAGCTGCGCTCGCATGTCGCTCCGCTCTGCGCGGAGACGCTGCGCCTGGAGAGGAAGCGCCACCTCTGGCTGCATCAGCTGCTGTGCCTTCTGTCGGTGTACGGCGGTCCCAGCGTCGCCACGGAGACGCTCTGCCAGCTCCTCACCCAGGCCCGCAACCCGGAGGAGCTGGCCCTGGCCTGGCAGCTCCACGCCACGCTGTCGTCCTGCATGGCCGGGCTCGTTCCGGCCGCCGTGGCGCACTGCGTGGCTCAGATTCACACGCACACGCTGGGCTGGCGGCAGCTGCGGCAGCTGCTGCTCAACCTGGCTGCGGCGCTGCAGAGCCAGGAGGAGGAGAAGAAGGCAGCAGCAGGTGCAGCAGGGTCAGCAGCAGGAGCTCAGTCCTCCATGGCCGCCCAGATTGGCTCCGCAGTCTCTGTGCACCTCCACGATTTCGGGCCTCTCCTTCTCCACGGTGACCCTGCTGTGTCTCACGCTGCCGTGCGTCTGCTGTCCTGCAGCCCGCTGCCACGCACCGCCTCCCCCGCGCACCTGCTGCTGCTCTCCAGAGCCGCCGTCACGCATTTCTTCCTGGCACTGCGGAGACGTGGGGAGGCAGGGAAGACGGGCCGAGATGTGGGGCAGTCAGGCGAGGCAGTGAGCTGCTCAGTTCTGCTCCTGACCCGGTTCGCGGCGTACTCCGCCCTCACCCTGAAAGCCATCCTTCAGCAGCTGGTGGAGGGGGCGCTGCACAAGGGCAACGCTGAGCTGTTCGGCGGCCAGATCGCCGACATGTCTGGAGCTCCCGTGGCCTCTCCGTCCGTGTCCCCTGACCTGGGTGCGTCTCTGCTGGACATTAACTGTCGGTTCGGCACCACGGTGAACTTTTCCGGCAGCGTGTGGTCGGTGTTCCACGCAGGAGTGATCGGGAAAGGACTGAAGCCTCGCACTGCTGCAAATCTGCCCGACCCATCAGGAGTCATCCAGGTGGGTTACTAATCATGATGCTTTAGCGATTAATTTTAACAGCTATATCAGCGAAAATACACAACAAATTGAGACCTGGGCACCAGTTCCTTCATTTTTATTCATGATGTTGTAATTTCCCCTTGAAACAATTTAATGGGGCGTTATTATGTAATGTAACTTTTTTATCTTTATATCATGTTATGCTGTTATTCCCTGATGCAGAACATACCAGGATTATTGCCTTCACTCTTTTACGCATGTTTGAGAAATCCTCCAATCTTCATGGCAACCAGTCAGGTGTGCAAAACACTTGGGTGGGCCTAGCACCGCCTTCAAGGCGCAGCTCTTACTCAGAGCTGCAGTTTCCAAGCTTCAGACTCACAGAGCAGTCCTCTCCTGCAACTCCCTGACTCAGCTCCTTCAGACTAGCCAGCAGCAATTAGCAAACACCTGGTGGAACTGCACATCTGCTGAGCTCTAATTTAATTGTAAAAATGTTGTTAAAGAGTAAATAGAGGAGCCATGTTTTGATAACTTCCCGAAGGCCAAGTTTCTGAAAAAGCAGGAGTTTTTAAAGAAACAGAGGCCCGATTTCAAGGCATTAAATTTCAAAGTCTAATTTCTTTTAAGTCATATATGATATATGTAACATTTTTATAACAACTGTTGATTCAGTCTTATAGCTAATTATGCTATAAAATGGCACATTGTGCCTGGAAGACACATAATACTGCCCCTTTAAATAATTTAAATGAAGGTTAAAAAGTAATGTAAAATCCTATCTGTATGCAAACTGCTGACTATCACTTTGTAAAAATAGTCGTTGATTCCTTCACACTTACAGGGTCTAAATCAATAAGACCAAAGCCAGTTGTGTAAGCGGTGTTTCTGTATTTTCTCTGCAGAACATCCAGACTCTCCTGGCCGTCATCGTCCAGTGCTGCAGTTCGTCCAGCCTCAACGGCTCACAGTCGCCGTCCGATCCCGAAGAGCCGCCACCCATCAACGCCGAGGCAGCCAAGGTCGTTGCTGTCACGCTGGTGGAAAACGTCTGTCCAGACGTGGCCAACGGGGAGCTGTCCTGGCCCCCCGAGGAGCACGCCCGCACCACCGTGGAGCGAGACATCCACATCCGGCGGTGCTTCGAGGCCCACCCGGTCCTCTTCCCTCTGCTTCAGGTTGTGGCGGCCGGGCGGCCGGCGCTCTGCTACTGCTCCGCCGTGCTCAGAGGCCTCCTGGCTACGCTGCTGTCCCACTGGGAGGGTTCCCGCGAGGCTTCGTCAACAGACTCTCCTTGGCACCTGCAGGCCTCCTGCCTGCTGGTGTCCTGCATGGGCGAAGGCCAGCTCCTGCCGCCTGTGCTGGCCAACGTCCACGAGGCTTTCGCTCACCTGACCCCGTTTGAGGTGAGGCTGCTGCTCTTGGCCGTCTGGGAATACGTCAGGGGCAACGGGCCGCTGCCCCAGAAGTTTGTTTTCAGCTCAGACAAAGGCATTTTCTGCAGGGATTTCTCACGGGACGGGGACGTGTCCAGGTACGTGGCACCGATCCACAGCGTCCTGCATAAAAACATCGACAGGCTGGGACATCTGTGCTGGCGGTTTCAGCTCTAAGAGGGAAACAAAGTGGTGATGCAAGTCAGCAGTTACTGTCAAACGGAGAGATTACTCTTGTTACTTAAAGAGTGGACTGAATATTCATAAATGTAAAGCTTTGTGTATAAGTTTGTGTTTTAGATGATATTTTCTGTACTTTTCCATTCAACTTCTATTAGAAAGCCCTGGGAACTGTTTAACTGTAAAGAAAGATAGTTTTCAAACTTAATTTGTCATTTTGATTCCAGAAAAACCACTAATTCTTGTTGTTCTATAAACATACTTTCCATCTTTTGTTATAGGAACAAACTTGTTTACACCACATTGCAAAATAAATCTCCATTTAGTCGTAAACAGCTGCTGAATTTGTACTTTTTTGCTGCATCATCAGGTCAATCTGGAGATCATTACAGGTAATAAGTTTTAAACGGAGATTCTTCGCACTTCTTTAGCTTCTAAATTGAAATCAGTCATATTTCATTTCTAGTTCTCCAGGTAATTCAACATGGTGATCTCTCTGCTGTTTTACTTAGAGCTGTGTTACAGTGACTAATGGAGGACTGAAACATGTACAATGTCTGCAACAGCTACATGTAAAACTTCATAATCTACAAACATTGCTGGTGATGCCTTAAGAGAACTCAACCAGGTCTTCAAGAGTCACTAAGAAAGCAACATCTATCTTTAAATATCTTCTGCATCTTTCTACCATTAGGAAGCAGGTTTATTTATCCCCAAAGTGAGCGATTACGTGAGGCCTTTTATGCATTTAGCTGTTGGGTTTTTTAATTATTTAAGATGAATTGCGCTGCCTGGAGTCCTGATAATTTTGTAAAAGTTTTGTTTGTTATTGTCGGCTCTGCTGGGCAGAAACAGTATTTTATTTATATTAAATTCAATTCAGTGGGCTCTAAATGCAAGATAACAGAAGCAATGTCTATACCAACAACATAAAACCAATTGTCATCAGCAAACCAGCACACAAATATAGAAAATCAATTACATGACTAAAGCTAGGAACTGGACCTTGGGGTACACCTTTATTTAGTTTTAAAACTGATGATATCTTGCCTTCAGATTTTCAAGACAAAAATACTTTAATTTACAAAAATCGGGGAAAATTTTGTGTATTTAGTTTATGTTAAATGAAATCTAGGAATACAACTTACATGCTGCATATTTTCTGCAGTCAATCTGAAGAAGGCTGTTTCTGTTCTGTGGACTACTGTGGAGATGATGGTGCAACGGGTTCTTTAACATATCAATAAAATGGACAACCATCTGCATGAGACTGCTTTCCAACAACAGAGTGTTTTCAGTCAGAATCTTCTTCAGATTAGCTGTAATTCAGACTGCTACTGGAGATCCTTCTTGGCCACAGCCATCTACAACACCACTGAAGAACCTGGGATAATCACCTACAACATTTAAGTTCCCTTTGGGGTTGATAAAGTATTTTTGAATTTAATTTGGGCAAAAAATATAAACAGAATAAAGTATTAAAAAGTTCAGATTGATTTATATGTCAGTTTTACAGGTAAGGTTACACTTTAATTCATAGCAAGGATCTAAGAACACTAGGTGGCTCTTGCAGTCAACAGGCACAGTTTATACTGAGCACCACAATAGCCTGAAATAAATCCAACGTGACAAATCCGGGATGAATGTGTGCGCTTCACTGAGTGGATCTTGGAGGTGACGTGTCCGACCCTGAGAGGATAAATATTCCCAAGAAGTTCCCATGTCTGCTCCATTAAACATTATTCGCATATCTAAATGACTGACTTTTATGGTAATCCTCCCTCTCTCGGTTTGTTGTTGGATTAAAAATTGAGCACTCATTTTTAGGTCATTTGCTGAGAATCTTCCTTTTTAAACGATCTTTGTTGCAGAGTGAAAGGGGGCGGAGCCAAACGGGATCCGAATCGAGATGGCCACCTTCACTGAGAGGTAAAGACGGAGCAGTTCCGCTCTTTTATTCTTTATTTTTCACCGCTTTCATTCGGTTTTTCTTAGCTTGCTGGCAGGGGCTATAAGTTTTGGGTTGAATTTAGTAAATGCAGAACTCATTAAAGGTTTGGACGCCGTGAAGGAGCCCAATACTTGTGGAAAAGTCTCCATCTCCGTTTCAATTGAATTAGCGGCTCGGCAGGATGTTAGCAAGGTTAGCATGATAGTGTTCTGATTTACAGAGCTTATTCATACTCTTACTGTTGTCACTCATGTATTGCTCAACCGAAGAGTCGCATAGTGTTGCGGTTATTTCGTTTAACCAGTATGTAACGTGTTATTTTTTAAATTAATAAGGGCGCAGATTAATTTTAGCAGTGGTTAGCCGATGTGTTAGCTAATACGCTCTTGGCAATAGTCCAAACACGTTAATTTGCATCGGTAAGATTTGACAGGAATAAAGAGACGCGTTCGATGTAGTTTTGACCTTTTAAAATTCAAAAAGCAGTGTTAAGTACTCTTTTATTTGAATATACATCGTGTGGTTGCAGGATTTAAATGGTAAAGATTCAACTACAATTGAATCTTTGGGCATATTTTATAATCACAACGAGCTCAAAGTTCAGGTGTATGGTTTAACAGCTCCTCCTCAGGTTTGTAGCGCGTCCCCTCGGGTAATTATTTGACTATTGCTCAATCAAATCAGAGTGCATGAACTGGAGATGTGCTGTTGGTTTTTCCTCCGCAGGATGGGGCCTGTCTTGTTGCTCTGGCTGGCCGTGTGCCTCAGTGGGTCCTGGGCTGTGGACAAGGGCAACTTCAAGACCTGCGACCAAAGTGCTTTCTGCAAGTGAGTGGAACATGGAAAAGTGATTCATTTACTGAAAGGCACATTTTCAAATGCAAAGCATATGGCTGATTTTTGACTGATGCCTATTTTTACCTTGTGCCAGGCGCCAGCGAGCGATGAAGCCTGGTGAGTCCCCTTATCGGGCCCTGCTGGAAACCATGGAGCTGACCAACACCAGACTCACCCTGCAGCTCATCAATGACAATAACAAGGTAGATTAAAGTTGGATGATCACTTGGGTACATTTACATTAAGGGTTTTAAAGATAAAAACGGGGAAAATCTTGTAATGTAATCTTTAAGGAAATGCTCTTATGCTGTAAAACTCTGAGACTTTTAGTCATGATTATTGCATGTCTAATAGATACAATACCAGGTTGGAAGAAGGGGGAGGATATCTTACCAAAACATAAGTTTCCCTTTACTTTTACTCTCAACATAAATCTAAAGTGAAATAGCTTACAAGGAAAAATTAACATTGTTACATTAATGAAAATTGACCCATGATTTTTTTTATAAAGCTTTTAACTTATATTCTACACTATTTAAATTCTGTGCTGCTATTTTTTTTAGTTAAACATGGTGATGTTTGCCTGCCTAAAACATAGGGTTAATATTCACATATTTAACCCAACAGTAAATGCTAAACATTACTGAAACAGTAACTTTTTCACAAAGATGGATTTAACATCAGCTGTCATTTCCAAGACTTCCACTTTCTCCATTCAAACCATTAAGACACAATGGTTTCTATTTATTGACTTGCACATCTTTCTGTTTCAGATTCATAAAATGCACAAGTATGTTCAACATTATAAATGTAGCACCTTGATATTTGATGCACCATATGTGAGCTTTGTCATATATAACTAATGTATACATATTTTTAAAGTGATGGAAGTCGTCGCTTTGCCATTGTAGAAATGCAGGAGATGCTCCATAGTAGCTGACAGGCTTTGTTACCTACAGAATATGTACAGCAAATTTAATCTGCTTGTAAAAATAATTTATTGAATTAACTCTGCTTTAAAACTTGCGACTAGTCATCGCAGAACAGTAGTTAATCTAATCTAGATTATATAAACGAATCTGGTGCCTCACCATATTGAATCACAATTTTCAAGGCTACTATAGTTGTGGTAATGGAAAGTACTCTTCTAACTATTGTAGTAATTCTGTGACAGGATGAAAATGGAAGACCCGACATGTTGCAATAGTCAGGAGAAGATAAGACAACAAAACTTTATTGCTACTATACGGTATGTGGCGTGATCGGACGCTTAAAAATAACAGGAAGATCAGATGAAACGATTTGAATGGGCAAAACTCTGAATATTTTAAACACAATTAATTGAAGCAGCTGTGAAGTATGGCTAAGACTGGGACAATGATCAATAAAAAGGCTGCAATATCTCCTACAGAATGAATGAAATTAAGGCATCATAGTCATACAAAATCATAGATTTATTAAATTTTGACCTAATTGCAGAATTGTGGAGCATATTTAGTTTTTCTGCACAAACTTTCCACTTTTTTTCTTTTACCTTAATCTTTGATATTTTGTTACTGTGTGGAATATGAACTTTAAGTTGAATTTGAATCATTTTAGAATCTGATTATTACTAAATCATTTTATTACTTAAAGCCGTAGCCATCACTGCAGCTGTGCTTTTTCTTTTTCCACCACCAAGCTTGTTAAAATAAACTAACAAGCTCACAGTAAGAAAGGAAGGCTGAACCTTTTCTAAGTATTTCTGCAGAGACTAAATAAAAGTTTGTTCCAAGAAATTAAACGTCACACATGTGGAAATATTATTTTGGTAGATTAAAAGCGCATCATTCTGTAGGTCAGATCTGCCTCAAGGCAACATTCCTCCACAGAAACATCAAGAATGACCTTTCAGCTGGATTAAGTGTGACTTGCTATCATCAGAGCTGCGGTTTGTCCTCCATGCATTCAGACTGCATGAAGTGCTTTTTATGGCAAAAGTTGAAATTGCAGATTGCAGTGAGTTCCTTGCGTTTCTGGCTCAGTCCAATCAGTGATGTTGCTGCGTTGTTGAAGAGAAATCTGCTGATCTCTGCTTTCAGGTGCGTCTTCTGCTCGAACTCTACCGTCTCCAGGGAAACATAACGAGGGTGAAGATTAACGAGCTGAAGCCTCTGAAGCCTCGCTATGAAGTCCCAGACGTGCTCATCAGGGAGCCGCCGACCGAGCCGTGAGTGTCTCGTGAGATTTCCCTCCTGCCTGGTGGATTCGTTTTTAGAGTTCTGAGAGTCGAAAGTTTAATTCCACTAATTCAGAGTACCTCTCCCCTAATTGAAGTTTTCCCTCCGTCCCAGTCTGTCTCTCCTGTCCCAGGACGAGAACGGGGTGGTGCTGTCCCTGGGAGCAGAGTCCCAGCGGGTCATTGTCAGCGCCCGGCCCTTCAGGCTCGACATCGTGGAGGGACGCGACGTCCTGATGTCCCTGAACTCGCGAGGCCTGCTCGGTTTTGAGCACCTGAGGATGCGCAAGGACACGTGAGAGTCCACACACACACACACACACTTCAACACAAAGCCCTGTCTTTCTTTCTTTTTTTTTTTATCCACGTCGCCACTCGGTGGATAAATTCAGTTTCTGTTCCCATGATATGGTTTGTTTTTTCAGTGCTGTCTCTGACTCGTTGTTCTGTCCTTTTCTCCCTATCATCCTAGTTTCTCCTATAAAGTAACTAGCACAGTGGCTAGCGTGTGGGATAATATCAAGAGGGTATTCTCTAGGTAAAGACCCTTAATGTGTATTCTGTTCCTTGTGCCTCTGCTGCCCGTAGTTACATAAGACACAGGGTCTCCCATCACACTAAGTTTATTTAACCTGAAGTTAATGTGACTGTAGGTTAGGGTGTGGGTGACTGTGTGCATGGAGGTGTTTGGATATAGTTTTAAAACTGAGCCATCCTCACATTCAGATGCTTAAAAAAATCAATCTGATCATTAGAAAAATCTGCAGGGTTAAATTGTAGCTCTGGCATTGATTTAAACTTTCAGTTTTGTCCATTAACTCATTCATTGTCACAGCAGTAGCTCGTCTGATGATCTGATCCAAATCTTTTAACTGCTTGATTTACAACATGTGGCAAGTAAAGAGTGGAAGGTGTAGATTTGAGTATTAATAACTCAAACTTTCTCACATTACAACCGCAAAGTATTTTATTGGGAATTTATCTGACGAACAACACAGAGTGGCATATAGTTAGTTATAAAGTAGAAGTAAAGTAATTTGATCTAAAGTTTTTAGATCTGAAAAGTGTGGCATGTATTAGTATGCAGCACCGTTACTTTATAGAACCAGCGTTTGTTGTGATTGCAGTCGAGTCTTTCAGTTTGTGTCCACCAGCTTTATACATCTAGAGACTGAATTTCTCTTCATAAAACTGATCAAGCTCAATACAATACAATTTGATTAATCATCAGAATAACCAGTAGAATGATTGATTAATAAAATAATTTCTAGTTGCAGCTCCAGTATTTTCTTCATCAGCTTCCTTCTGAAGAAAAGCATCCCTGTGGTGCATTCTCGGAGACGTGCAGTTTTAGTTTTCACACCAACCTTTTGAGTATAAGCCATAAACCTTTATGTATGCGCTCTCTCCTATGTTGTTAATTGGAAAAGTTTGCCTTTCTTCTAACACTTGTTTTATTCTTGACTCTTCTCCAGAAAGACCAGTTTTGTGGAATAGTTGTCAAATTCCGTTACCCTGGAAACCTTTAGCCTTGTAGCTAGCGCTAATGACGACTCTGTGTTGCTCTGTCTCAAAGTTAAAGCGTTATAAATACTCAAGTTCCCGTACTGAATGTCTGTCTGAGCCCACATGCAGTCTGTCCCCTCAGGCTTTGCTGATCAGCTCCTGTCAGCAACATCTCTCTTTGTGGTTCTACTTCTGATTGCAGTTTTGCTTCAATTCAGGGTCATTTTAAATCGCTTTCTCTGGACATTAACAGGTCGGGTCGGCTGCCCACTGCATGTTTACTGCTTAACATCACGTATTTCTGCAGCTCAAGGATTTTTATTTTTATTTTTTTCTTGAGCTGCTTCTAGGGTTAAACTCTGGTGATTTTGGATCTTCTCGGTTCTATCTGGGGGTTTTTAAGGTGGCGTATGCTGCAACGCGTTGAGCTCTGGTCTTTCAATACCAAGCCTGAAGTAGCCACAAGGCAGGGAGTTGTTCAGTCCCTATTTGTGATTAAAGCTAGATCACTGTTTTGCAGTTTTATTTAGTCGTCTCTGCGGTGAGGGGACGATCATTAATCCTGCACCCTGTTCCATGTTGTTTTATTTACCTTTAACTATAGTTTAATTATCTCAGCATATTATTACCTCTCATGAGACGGTGGCCAAAGTGACGCTCTTTCTTTTCTGTCCATCCTTCGCTCTGAGCAGTCAGGCCGACCCGGAGGCTGAGAACAAAGAGGGGACGGACCCTGCCAACCCGGCCGAGGTATTTGGAGATTCATTGTTTGGCTCTTTAGGTTTTGTCTCGTGGTTTCTGCTCCTCCGTGACTATTTTTGCCTTTTGACTACCAGACTGCAAAAGAAGAGGAAGAGAAAGTAGAAGATGGGATGTGGGAGGAGACGTTTAAATCGCACACAGACAGCAAACCGAGCGGTACAGCATGCAGCTTTAGCTGAAGGTGTTTGTATGAGAGGATGAGAGTTGAAATGTTTTACCCGTCATCTCTCTCCTCAGGTCCTTCTGCCGTTAGTTTAGACTTTTCGTTGCCAGGCGTGGAGCACGTCTACGGCATCCCAGAACACGCAGACACCCTCAAGCTTAAAACGACAGAGTGAGTCCCAGCTGCAGGTTTTGTCTGTCAAAGCCTCAAACACAGAAATGACACGCGAATCCCTCTGGTTTTGTTTTCAGTAGTGGGGATCCGTATCGGCTGTATAACCTGGATGTTTTCCAGTATGAACTGTATAACCCGATGGCTCTATATGGGGCAGTCCCAGTGATGTTATCTCACAACGCTCAGCGTACCATGGGCATCTTCTGGCTCAACGCTGCAGAAACCTGGGTGGATATAAGTTCAAACACAGCAGGAAAGGTAAAGTCTGTTCTCCCTGACCAGAGATTAACCAGCAGCATTCACTTCCTGGTTTCCTCTTAAAGCCACGAGGATTTTGAAAATGAGTCCGGGGAATTTCTTTGTTTCCAAAGCTCATTTTGTTTATTTCTCCAGACGGTGTTTGGGAAAATGCTGGATTACGTCCAGGGCTCCAGCGAGACGCCACAGACGGATGTTCGTTGGATCTCAGAAAGTGGAATCATAGATGTCTTCCTCATGCTGGGACCGACTCCCAGAGACGTCTTCTCTCAGTACGCCTCTCTAACGGGTGAGAAAGAACATGAAATGAGATATAAGCTTTAATTTCCTTGGTCTCCTGTTACCTTTTGGCTCCTTCTGAGTAGATTTTAAATGGCAACTCAGAATTGTTGATTTGCAAATGAGAAAACAAACTAGTTAAAAACATCTGCAACAATTATATCCATTTCTTGCAACCAAATGGCAGAGATCATCTTGTGTCTGACCTCTCTGGTCCTTCTGCCCCTCAGGCACTCAGGCCTTCCCCCCTCTGGCCTCACTGGGATACCACCAGTGCCGCTGGAACTACAACGACCAGGAAGACGTGCGCTCGGTGGACGCCGGCTTCGACGAGCACGACATCCCCTATGACTTTATTTGGCTTGATATCGAGCACACAGACGGGAAGCGCTACTTTACCTGGGATCCTCACAAGTTTGCATCACCAAAGGAGATGCTGCAGGGTCTCCTGGACAAGAAACGCAAGGTACAGCTGACAAGATGGTCTGTTATTCACAGATTAATATATTTATTAAAACCCTCAAGAGTTCTTATGAAATCTGGAGTTTGGTTTTTATCCTTTTCCAAATCTGGATATTTATCTATTTTAAATAGTTGTTGAATTACCTAATGGACAAAACAGAGATTCTTAAAAGAGACGGGCTATAATAGATTGATATATATTTAAGTTTGTAGTAATTTAAATTTATTTAGCATTGTAAGAGATTTATTGTCTGGTTTCATTGTGAAGCCAAATCATTCAGAAATGAACAAAAGGTTTTCCAGACTTGAAATCCTCTTTTACACTGAATCTGTATTTCAAGTTACTTAAACCTCTATTTTAAACTTTTACAAATAAACTGCAGATATCACAGATGAAACTGTATTTAATAAAACCCAGGTTTGATAAACCTGTTTTATCCATTTTTTAACTGATTCTATTAAAAAGGAGCAGAATATCTCTTTACCATGTTGCTCTATTTTCCTGATTTGTGGATTTGAGATAAAAGTTTTGCACTTAAATATCCAGAACATTCTAAAACCTATTGGGAACATAGAAAACCAAGTCTGGGAAAGTGGAGAGCTCTGAAATGAAAACATGTCTAAATCTTTTATGCAGCTTTAGAGCTGCCTGAAGTAGATTTTAAACTCTGTTGGCTTGAAGCTCAGCACGTTTTACTCCTTCCAGATGGTTGCGATCGTCGACCCTCACATCAAAGTGGACACAAACTACAAGATCCACAACGAGATCCGCTCTCGGGGTTTCTATGTGAAGAATAAAGATGGCGGAGACTACGAAGGCTGGTGCTGGCCTGGTAAGACTCCTACAACTCTGGCATGGTTTTATTTTTTATCTAGAGATTTTTTCCATCTTCTCTTCCATTTTCCTTCACTGCTGGTGAATAAATAGGGAGTGCAGGTTATCCAGACTTCACCCGTCCTGACATGAGGGCCTGGTGGGCCAGCCAGTTTGCATACGATCAGTATGAGGTGAGTTGCTCAGGTGGAGGTTTGCATTGTTGTAAATGATATGAACCATTCAGCTGTGCAGAGTAAAGCTAGAAAACGAGGCTCAATTAGAAGCTCTGTCTTATTACATGTTGGCACCTAATTCAACTTTGGAGACATTCACAATATTTTCTCTCTTTGCTTACATTTGAGGCTCAGACATGATTACCACCCTGGAATTTATTGCATTTTTCACAGTTTTTAGGTTGTTTTGTGTCATAGTTTAGATTAAACGGAGTGTCCGCTCTGCAGGGCGCCATGGAGAACTTGTATACCTGGAACGACATGAATGAGCCGTCCGTGTTCAACGGGCCGGAGGTCACCATGCACAAAGACGCGATGCACGAGTCCTGGGAGCACCGTGACGTGCACAACTTATACGGCCTTTATGTGGTGAGCGAGTTTAAGCCGAGTCGCACTATGATTTTTAGGCCATTCTTCTGTCTTTTTTTTATTCTAACTAAATATGGAAAGAGTGATTTATTGTAGCTAGATTTAGTACGTCTACTTTTTGCTAGAAATGATCTGCTAGGAAATGTAAAGTAGTGATGAAATTCTCTGTTTTCCTGGCCTGCAGCACAGGGCCACGGCAGAGGGTTTGGTCGAGAGGTCTGGAGGAGTCGAGAGACCGTTTGTCCTCACCAGAGCTTTCTTTGCTGGTTCCCAGCGCTACGGTGAGGCCGCCAGCACCTTTACCTCCAGATTACCCGCTAATGTCGACTCAACATCTGTTAAAAAGATGAAACATACAACATTAGGCCAGCTTTTTTATATGCAAAATGTGTTTGTTTTTTTTGTTTTTTTGCATGCAGGTGCTGTGTGGACTGGAGACAACGCTGCGGAGTGGGACCACCTGAAGATCTCTATCCCCATGTGTCTGAGTCTGGGCCTGGTGGGAATCTCCTTCTGTGGTGGTGAGTTCATAAACAAACACACAGCTTAGGTTGATGGTTATATTTGGCTTTTTAAGAAAATTACTGCAATTACATTACTCTTGTTGTTTTTTAATTTTATTTTTTGGATCTTATTTAAATTACTTGCATTATTATTAATTTTATGTCCCTTATGGTTTTATTTATATTTGCATTTGAATTGAGTAGCTTGTCAACAAATAAGCAATTTCCCTTTGGGGACCAATAAAGTATATTCATGTTATTTTTATGGCTCATGTAATTTACAAAAAATAAAGCATAAAGTTGTTGAAGTTTTCTATTTTCCTCATTAATAATTACAGAAACCTGCCTTGGTTGAGTAAAATAATGATTCTTATCAGCACTGTGGAAATAATCCAATTTAACACCCCGTAGTGTTTGGTAATGTCGCTATGGAAACAGGTCTGCTCTGTTGCCATAGTGACGGCAGAAGTTCCCCACTAATGAAGCAGCAGTTATTTTTCAGTTATGTTGGCTTGAATTACGCTGCCAGCTGTTCAGACTTTATTGAAATTAATGAATTTGTGTTTAACACAAAAAGAAATCTGGTTTGAGGAAAAGCTTCTTGAAGATCAATTTATTTTTAATCAAACCCTTTGGATTGAAAAGTCAGTTTCCTAGAGTAAATGTAAAGTTGTGCAATGATCGTACAAAACGTATTCTGTTTAAAAATCTCTCTGATTTCAGGTTTCTATTTAGTTTTGATTTTATCTGTAGATAATTTTATATGCACAGTTTATATTGTTTTGAGATATTTTTCTATTCAAGAGAATTTCCCCACTGTGGGATTAATAAAGGACTGTTTTTATTCCACAGCTGATGTCGGCGGGTTCTTTAAGTCGCCGAGCACCGAGCTGCTGGTGCGTTGGTACCAGACGGGGGCGTACCAGCCCTTCTTCCGGGCCCACGCCCACCTGGACACGCCACGCCGCGAGCCCTGGCTGTTTGGTCCAGAAAACACGGCTCTGATCCGCGAAGTCATTCGCCAGCGCTACACGTTCTTGCCTTACTGGTACCAGCTGTTCTACCTCGCATATCACACTGGAGAACCCGTCATGAGGTGAGGACAGGGAAAAGTTTTTTTCCCTCTCGTGTGTATCGCTGATGCTCAGAGGAGTGAGGTGTTCATTTGTAACATGATGCAATTATTGTTCATCAGGAAGATTTTTAGTTTAAAACTTTGAGCTAAACAATCAAGGAGACAAATATAAAAGCGATTGGCTGCATTATTATCCCTACTTTGGTATTTTTCTTAAAACAAGAAAGATGTTGGTCCCACTGCATGGAAAAGCTGTTTTCAGGTAAATGATAATCTGACTTGCCTCATGTCTGTTGCAGGCCACTTTGGGTGGAGTATCCCCAGGATCCTGCTACTTTTGCTCTGGATGATGAGTTTTTGCTCGGTGAGGCACAAAACGCAAATCTCTCTCTGTAATGAGTACGAAGAGTTTATCAGATGATTTCATGAATCTAATTACAAACTAGTTCTACCCTAGAACTGTTGTGCAGCTGTTTTCTCTCCGGTTTCTCTTAATTCAGGGATTTTTGAAAAGTAGAGTAGGAATACTCCCTCTCCTACATTGCCGCTATTATTGCTTTACTGTTGCTAGACAGCAAAGCAATATTGATCATTACTGATCCTGTGGGGTTTTCCTGCTTTAGATTGGTTATAGGAGGTAAACTTGATTTAAAATTGCTAAAATGCAGTGAATAAATAAATATAATGTAATAACAGACAAAATTATGCCAGTAACACAATCATTCCTCTAGTGTGGAAGTAGTTCAAAATTATTATTTTTTTAACCTTTAGTCAAGGCTTTGCCAAAAATATTCCAGTGGAAAATCATATAAGTGACTGTATAAGGTCAGCAAAAAGCTCAGCATAGTTACCAGTAATGTTCCAAATTTTGGCTGGTACATTAGAGGATTAAATTAATTATGTTTTACATTAATCACAAACTTGTTCAATAATTCAGTAATCACATGTTGCACAAATGGCATCAAGTCATTCATCAAAAATTCAGTCATTACTCTTGAAGCATAAATGGAAAATAAAGCCAGGAATAATTCACATTTCATGACAAAAAACCAAGTGTTTGAGCTTCCAAATGGTCGGTCTCGATCAAGGCCAGTCAGACTGAAAGATGTTTCATTCTGATCGCCATCTTGGTTTTCAAATAATAATATAAGAACATTTGAACGTTTTCACACAGAAGGAAACAAACTATAGAAGATGAATACTAACTACATCTACTTCAGAGGCTGCTGGTATCTATAAGGTAGAAGTTTAGCTTACAAGATGTTTGCAGATGCTTCACTTTGTGATTGTCTAACTTATTTTTCAGCATAGAAAATGGAAGGAAAATTAATGACTTGTTTCTGCTGCCATCTTGTGGCCAAATATGTTACGCAATGCAGGTTTAAAATCGGTCTTTACCAATTAAATGACTCACTGTTTAGCTTGTTGTTGTTTACTAATGAAATCAGTATTTTTGGATAATAAAACATTCATAATTTTTCTCCTGTTTGTTGGTTTCTGCTGCAGGCCGAGACCTGTTGGTGCATCCTGTAACTGAAGAGGGAGCCAGAGGCGTCACCGCTTACCTGCCGGGGAAACATGAGGTGATCGACTCGCTCTGCAGCACGTTGCGATGGTTTTTAAGTTCAGGAGGTGATGGTTCTCCCTGCGTGTCTGTCCTCAGGTCTGGTTTGACATTCACACCTTCCAGAAGCACAACGGCGGCCAAAACCTTTACATTCCTGTCACCATGAGCTCCGTAAGCTGTCACAAAAATTTAATATACAGTTCAATGGATTTTAATGGCGTCTCATTTTCCTGCTTTAGAGTAGTTTCTGCTGTATTCTGTCACAAGTTCACTGATTTAGATGGCTTTTTGTGCTTCCTTGCTAGATCCCGGTGTTCCAGCGCGGCGGCTCCATTATTCCCAGGAAGCTCCGAGTCCGCAGGTCCTCCACCTGCATGGAGCACGACCCGTACACTCTGTATGTGGCTCTTGATAATCAGGTAAAGAAACTTTGCGCCGTCTAAGAGCAGCTGCAGGATTCTGCTGAGTCTCTGCTGGGTGGTCCTAATCAAACCTCTGCTGTTGTTCAACAGAGAACGGCAGAAGGAGAGCTGTACATCGATGACGGCCACACCTTTAACTATGAGAAGAAAGAGTTGATCCACAGGAAGTTTTCCTTCGCCAACGGCGTCCTCTCCTCTGTGTGCGTTGCATCATCTCAGCGTTTCTCTCTTCCCTGTTCTTCCAGCTCAGATCTTGATACTAAAGAATGAAACTCAGGATGATGAAAGTGCAGATTTATCTACTTCTGTAATGGTTACACCTCATGTTTGAAGTTGAATTTGTTCCTCTGTCTTCCCCACAGTGACCTTGAACCAAACGCCCAGTTTACAACCAAGTCTTGGGTGGAACGCATCATCATACTGGGAGCCAGTAAACCCAGCATGGTTACTCTTAAAACTGCTGGTGAGTGATTGATGCTCTTTGTCACATGATACAGAAATATAAAATAAAGATTTTAGAGTTTTATAGGAAAATAGAGGCTTAATTCAGATAAAAAAAAATAATGGAGTGGTTATTTTAAGCTTTCATATGAGTTATATACTTTTGTAATATTAAAGTTTAGAAGTAAACTAGAAAAATAACTAATTGATCTGTCACAGTAACAAAGTTTGCTGCATAGTAAATTGTCTGAAAAATTATTGTGATAAACAATGTTTTGAGACAATTTTCAACAATATAATAATGGGATTATAATGCTAGTTCGCCCTCTCAAAATCTAATAAACTTTAGTTTTGTGCAGAGGACTACACCCTGGAACTGGAAGACATTTTAAATATCCAGAATAACAATAAAACAACCAAAGACGATAGAAAAAAAAACCATACACAATCAAAAGTAAAATGGATTATGAAGCATCTACAAACAAAATTGCCCTTTAAAAAAATATAAATCATCACAGTGGAAATTATTGAGCTTGTTCTAGTTTATCATGCAGTTATTTTGGTATTTGCTTATTATGACCAGCTTGTCTGCATTAAAACTTTAAAATAAGATCATTTGCAGCATGAATTCTTGTCCTTACTGTCCTAACAAAAAAAAAAAGTTCAGACTAAGAAATCTTCAGTTCTTGACATTTCTTCTTGTATTATTTAATTGACCAGGAAACAAACTTTTTACAAATAACCATGTTGCCAGAAAATAGTTTCAAATCATGATGTACTTGAAGCAAAAGAGTTGACCTAAATCACTTTATCAATGTTGCTCTTTGGAACATCAGATCCTGTGCAAAACTGTTCAGAGGATGAGAATATTTTTCTCTTTTCGTTTTTGCAGATGGTGAGAACCAGCTGGAGTTTGATTTCGACGCCTCCATGTCTGTGTTAACTATCCGCAAGCCCGGCATGAATGCGGGGGCAGACTGGACCGTGACCCTGCAGTGACCCCCAGAGACGGAAGACGAAAACAGAAAACTAGACTGAAACAGGAGGAGATGGAGAGAGTAGGGAATAGACAGACTCCATTAATACTCCAGACTAACTAGAGCAGGACATCAGAGTAACTGCAGAAACACAGATCACACTCTCCATCCACATTAACACAGCTTGTTGACGCTGAACTCTGCCATTTCCTCTTTGTGTTCAGTCACACTGTAAGATCTGATGGCAACGATTAAAAAATTACTACTAGATAGGAAAATGTGTTTGTTTTTTCAGGGAAGAATCAGAGTGGGTCAAGTCAACTTTGGGACTTTTTTTGCTGCTGAATCTTCCTCGGTTTAACACACTGTCTGCCTCATAAGAAATGCATCACTGTAAAGAGTTGTTGGTGTTTATAATGAAGGTTAACATTCTCATCACACACTCCACCTACTGCTGATTCCTGTCTGAATTTGAAGAAATCTATCGTTCCTCTTATAGGCAAAGTCAAATCAGGTAAGAGCTCAGCCTTCTTTTCTCATGCGAATTTAAAAGTTGAGGGACAGTTTAACCACCGTCTCCTTTATGGCTCAAATCTTTTATCATGCTTTTTTTTAAAACTGTTTTCAACACCACAAAGATGTCTTTGTTTAGCAGTCCTCAGCAAATCATTTTCTTCCAGCCTGTCATTGAGTTTCTCAGTCCTAAATATAAATTACTTCTATTTTGAAGTAATTTTCTTAATCGCACAGTTTGGGTTTTAAGCTGGGGAGTGAACCACTGACTGTGGATGATTCTAACGATGTGTTTTCTCTTTTGAGCCATTTTTCTTCCCTTCATATCCTGCTTTTAATGCACTTACAGCCCTTAAATTAGATTTTCATGTGTTTCCTAGGCATTAGTTGAAATCTTCATTTGGGTTTTGATCATTAGATCAACTAAACAGTTGTCCATTTAAAGCCATCTGAACTACAGAAACATCAATCTGCCATCAAGTTCAATCATCTGAGCTGCAGGAGGGAAGGTTCTGCGAGTTTCTGTTTTCAAGAGCATAAATGTTCCCTCTGCATTGTTTTTTGTCAGTGGCTTGAATTGGTGAAAACGGAAGTTAATGATTGCACTTCAGCTGTCAAAGTTGTCTGATGTACTCTTAACAGATGAGACCAAGTGAAAATAAACTTGACCAAATGTGAAAAATAACAAGTCTGATTTCTTCCAGTAATTTTTGTTAAATTATATTTCACATTCACACTCATTCTGCCAACACTGAATGAAAAAGTATGGTTATCTTTTTTTTATTTTTTTTATGTCACTTTTCTAGGTCTGGAGAACTTTGTTTCAGACAGGGCAACTATCTACAGTGCCCCTTAAAGGGACTATATTTAACCTGTTGACTAATGTTCAGTATTCCATCTTGTAATATTTTATCCAGTATGTTTTTGACTTACTGACTTAAAACAAAATATTAGGGCAATTTTACAGGTTTTTGGACAGGTTAAGATGAACTTGTATTTTAATCGAGGCTGGTTAAAATACTAATGGGTCCAATAAAAGTGGAATTTTTTAAAATGCATTTCTACAAATTAAAGGACAATAGAGTAGATGAAAGAAGTTCAAGACATCTCTTCCATTAATCATAATGGGTAGGGAGCAGCACAAGCAAATACGTTGGATAAGAAGTGTTTGCCAATAATAAATGCTTCTGAAGAATACCGTAATACCCTGATATTGAGCTGTTGACACGTAATGAGACTGTCAAACAGCAATGGTCTTCAGAGGCCCCTTCATATTCATTGCTAAACTGACTGCTACTGGGGCTCAATCCTGCCCATAGAATCACCGTCCACAATGACTCTTTGAAGATGGTTTAATTATATCAGTTACAAAAAATAATTTCCCTTTCGGATAAAGTATTTTTGAATTGAATTTCCCTTGCGGCGATCCAGTGCAGTTGAGCGCTGATTGGCCATGCTTAAGTCCGGGGTATAAAATTAACCATTTAGAAGAAAGCAAAAGTTTTCACATTTTAAAGAAAATGTTTACTAAAAAAATGTATATGATTTTTTTTAATGTGTATAAGTATTTAATTTGCTGTGTGTGGATAAAACCAAAGCGGAGATTGTGACAGCTCTAAGATTTGTTTACAAATTGCAGTTTGTGTTTTTGTCGCTTGCTGATGACGTCAGTGGTTTTTCTATCATGGCGGCGGAGGGCTGTGAAGAGATGAGCGGTAACGGGGTGCCTGAAGAGTCTTCAGGTAGATTTATTTCAGAGTTTCTAGACTAAAGTTGGCTGTGGGTTGACAGATATGATAATTGTTTCAACAAAGCGCTGCATTGCTGTTTCTTTGAAAAGCGGAAGGCATGGCATGCTAGGCTGAGCTACACACAGCAACCCTGAGCAGAGCTGGACGTTCAGTGATTCCCTATAAGATGAACTGATAAGAGTTTTAACTCACAGCTGTGCTGAAGAGGCTGCTGCTGCTCAGCTTCCCGGAGTGACATTTCTTCGTTTCAGTGATTTTAACATTCATTTTACTGCACTGGTATCTGCTATAATGTATGAATGGGAGGCTCAGCAGAAATCTTAAAATTTCTTGATTTTTCAAGAAAGTTTATTTAATTAGTTTACCTCCAACTATATGCACAGAGGTTTTCTTTCTCAGCAGGTTATCTGGTTAAATTGGGTGTCTTTATGTGATTCTAATAAATGAATTTAATGAGTGCCGCTGTATTTATTTCCCTGTTCTTCATTACAAGGCAGTACAATGCAAAATTTTTATGCTAAAATACAAATTACTTTAAAAAAATATTACCTTAAAGAGAGGTAAAGAGAATAATTAGCTGAAGTCTGCACGTTGTTTTTGTAACACTGTACCATGTTTCTTTTAATGTATTTAAAAGTTTAAAACAGATTATATCTCACATTAAACAAGAGTCACAAAAACATGCATGTAAAGGTCATTTAAAATGGGATGGTCCAAACTTAATAAATATTGTAAACCGAATGAAGTAAAGCAGATTTATTTTGGTCTGCTGTGGAAGAATGTTCACCTGGCTCTCACATCTCTGTTGACCTTTGACCTTAACGTACGGTCACACTACAGCAGAACCTATTTTCTTTGGCTAAAAGAAGCCAATACCAATATTCTTTTTGATAATGTTCTTCTTCTTAAAGCCATGGATGTCACCGAGGCAGCGCCGCCTCCTCCTGAAGCATCGGAGGAAAATGGCGGTGCAGCTGCGGCCCCTGAGGGTCCTGCAGACCCAGATAACTACTCCACGGACCTGGCAGCAGAGAGCGAACAGGGGGATCTACCTGCAGACTTTGATCGTCTATGGAAAGCCGCACATGACAATCCTCAGGACTTCCCCAGCTGGACCGATCTGCTCCAGTACTGTGAGCATGAGGTGTGTGTTTTCAGCAAACCAGAGGAATTTTTTTAGTAGAAAACAGAAATTAAGATTGACTTTCTCTGTAAAGAGGAATTACCACCCAGTTTCATCTTTTCAGGGTCATGCTGCCGCGTACCGCAGAGCCCTGGAAGCCTTCCTGGCTCGGTATCCTCTCTGCTATGGCTACTGGAAGAAATTTGTCGACCTGGAACGTCGTGGCAGCGACAACAACAAAGCAGAGGAGGTAAAAACTCCTTTACATTTTTTTCATATTATTTGATGTGTATTTGTAAAGCACTTTGCTTATTTTTAAAAAATTGACGTGTGTGTGCTATGTTAGGTGTGTATTCGTGGTCTTCAAGCAATCCCTCTGAGCGTAGATCTTTGGATCCACTACATCAATCTGCTGCTGGGAACGCTGGACATGAACCTGCCCGATTCAGCTGTTCGGATTCGCAGGTGAACAAGCTTCCAGTCACATCTTAATGCTTTCGACACATTATTTTCCAAAGCTGATGGAAAAGTCGAGGGTTCAGCTCCGAAATTTCTGTTTTAATTTCCTTTTGAATGTCGTCTGAGTATGTTTTTGAAACGCACACAGAAAATACTAATATTATTAGATTTTACAGTTTAGTTGAGTTATTTCAGACCAAGCCAATTCCAGCACAATATTGTTCCATGACTTGTACTCAAAAATACAACTTATTGTGAAACTTCATAAAAAAAAACATCTAGAAATTTGACTCTGGAAGTGATAAACATGGAGGAACCGTGAGAGCAGAAAACACAATTATAGTAATACATAAACAATTCTTTGACAACATCATTTTTTTCCTCGGTTAAACGTCCTCAGTGTTTTTGAGAATGCCGTTGCGTCGTGCGGTTTGGATTTCCACTCGGACCGCCTGTGGGATCTCTACGTGGAGTGGGAGAAGGAGCACGGAAACGTGAAGAACGCAGTGGCCGTCCTGGACCGAGCGCTCAGAGTTCCCACTCAGCTCTACAGCACCCACTACGACAAGTAAGCCCACCTGACCGCCACAGACACGATACTGACATCCAAGGGCCTTCAAAGAGTCACATGTTGGACACTGTAATGGTAAAACTTGCAATTAAATTCGAGCTTAACATTAAAAAAACAACAACGTTTGAACAGAAAGTCTGTTTGAACGTTTACTGGTTTTCTCAATTGTTGACTTTACATTTTTCTGCTTTTATGATAACAAGTGCACTTTAAACTGCCTTGTTGCTGAAATGTGCGATACAAATAAACTCGATTGGTTGATAAAAGCTCTGATTGTGTAAAATGTCATCTTCAAGTCATTTTATCTTAAATTAGTCAATCCTAGTTTACAGCAACTCCTTTCTCCCACACACAGTGTGACGCTGCCTGTGTTTTCGCGGTTAATGATGATTTACAGCAGAAATATTACAAAATACCGTTAATTATAAAAGTGCCTAAAGTCTATCGATAAACCTTCATCCCCTCCTCTTCATTTGTCTCTTAAGTTTTATTCCTGATCCTGCTGCGTTGTCCATCCTTCCTGCTTCCAGGTTCAAAGTGCATCTTAACAACAACCCGCCTAAAGACGTGCTCCCCTCTGAGGAGTACGAGGAGCTGAGGGCGACGTGCCGGCAGAGCCAGAAGGCAAAGCGGGCCGAACAGGCCCAGGAGGCGGACGAGGAGAGGCCGCCAGGAGAGGAGGAGCCCGCTACGCCCGAGGGTACCGACTCGGTGAGTAAAATCTGGCTATTAAAAACTTGGTTCTCACTAGAAATAAGCCTTTATGAGGCTCAACCACCTGCTTTATTGTTTAATCTGTGTTTAAATATTATTTAACACGGCGGGAAGGAATTAGTTTTCATGGGTTCTAATGCCTTGTTG